AAGTCACCACTCCCGAATGAGTTCGCGCGAGAGAAAGTAATCTTTTAGTTTTAAGTCGATTTGAACAATCGGATAAGCGCAAGTAAGTACCAATTTGATTGCCGTCGTACCTACAATTTATATGTAAACATCTTTTATATCTTATTCAGGTCAGTACTAAATAAACAATAACATGCATTTTGTATGATCCCTCTTATTTTGGTGAAATTATTAACATTTAGCAGATTCTGCAAGGTGTATGTAAACTTTTGACTTCAACGGTAGTGCATTAGTCATATGGACTACTTTTATAATAGTTTAATGATGGTTTTTGTCATTTTGGAGATTCATAGCCTCAGTTATATTATATTGAAAAGAGTGTCCAGAAAGACCACAACAAAAAGAAAGTCATACAGGTTTGGAAGAACATGAGGGTGAATAAGTATTGTGACAGAATTTTCATTTTTGAAAATGAAAATCTGTTATCGCTTGCTCACCCTCTTGTTGTTCCAAACCTGTATGAGTTTCTTTCTTCTGAAGATAAGAAGATATTGGTAATGTTGGTAACCTGTTGCGGGTAGCCATTGACTTCCATAGTGTTTTTCCCATACAATGGAAGTGAATGGGGACCAGCATCTGTAACAGTTAACATCATTCTTCAAAACATCTTCTTTTCTGTTTAACAGAAGAAAGAACCTCACAGGTTTGGAACAACTTGGGTGAGTAAATGATGACAGAATTTTCATTTTTAAGTGAACTGGCCCTTTAACTAGATAAGATCAATGTAGCCTACCATGTTGAAGTGAGAAATTATACTTCTTGTTCTTTAGAACTTTGTGAAACTTTAACGTTTCAACACATTGCGATGTCAACAGGAACTACTCTTCCGTTGAATCTAGAAAGAAAGTTTGAGTGTAGATACATACATTAAACAGTGGCCTTTGACGCACAGCATTAGAATGACAGCACCACCGTCCACTTTCACCAAGGTGTTCTTCCTGAATGCATAATGAAATTACTGGTTATAAATAATACTGACGTGATATACCACATGCATGTGCAAACATATCAGAACGGGAAATACTAAAGTTATTGCAATAAAACACGTTCGTTGTTATTGCAATAAAACACACTCATTTATGTGTATTTAAGCAGTGACCACAGTTAAACAGGCTGTCTACAAACATATGGCCAATGAAGAGTTTGGGTTTTGTGCTTGAAGAAGTGCTACACACTTCAAGCAGTGACATAAATTGCCCTTGAGGCATTCGGATATGTTTGGAATGCCCTCATGTTGTTCTTTAAAATTAAATTACGCCATGACAAGAATAACCCAGTTGTTGTGTATCACACATTGTTGCTGAGCATGACCTCTAGTGGTCAGCAGATGAACTGCAGCTTACAAAGTGTAATTTCCTATACAGTCTATGGTAATTTCACGTGGCACGTCTTTTACTCTGTAATAAACCACAGCATTGGTATTGTAATTCTTTAATGGTTTGATATAAATGCAGCATGTCACCTTTCATATGAATGGTTGTGCTTGTGAGCTGAAAACCTACATCTTTACTCTAAATCAATCCATTCTAAATCAGTTTTGAAGGTTATAAGAAGATTATGAAAATGATACGCACATTAACGTGTTAGAAAATAACACACAAATTTATGATCGCCCTGAAAATATTGAATGCATTCCTCTCGCCCCATCACGTTCAATATTTTCTTTCTTTTAATAGCTCTAATCTCAAAGTGTATCCTATATGAGGTGGGAGTGTTTTTGTCATTTTATTGATGTGTATTTGTGACCACACTCTTTGATGTTTATATCATGACTCAGGTGATAAAAAATTAAGCAGGCTGTTTGAGAGCTGTTCTGCCAGGGGTGGGTGGGCTGTTAGGTAATAAACCATCAGGCGGAGTCAAAAGAGCTGTTTATAGAGCACAGCAGTCCGTCAGAGATACAGAGCTGCAGTTTCATCTAGCTGTGGGAAGTTGTGCTTCATATCCTGAGATTTTCAATAACACTCAAACGCAGAGATGACTACCATGTTCAGATACCCCGTGTTTCCACTCCTTCCAGGTGAGATTTGGGGGTAATATTTAGGGGAAATAACATGTAAATACAGTTTTAGGCAAAGCAGAGTAGCACTTATTATTTTATATTATTTTTATTAGTAGTAATTAATAGAATAGTTAAAGAAAAAAATACTCTGTTGACCTATATGTACTTAATGTATGTTGGTTTTTGCTTCTAATTTCACATTGTCGGGATGTGTGTCACACTTTTATCAATTGATGTGATCATGTTTATTCAGATATAGTTTATCAGCCTTTCAACTGATATGGAGCTGTGTGCTGAATGATACATGCTTGTTTGTTAGGTTAAAAATAATGACTAGTATCCGGCTATAAACAAATAACCATGTGAGATAACAGTCACATGGGTTTGTCATTCATCATGTGTTTAATGATATCAGAATAAATGATAAGATAAACCAGAGAAAGAGAGCTTGATTTATTCTCTGATATAACAGTTTCAGTGAAACTAAAATAATGGCTTTCCCCTATGTATCCTATGATTGTTATGATTTTGAAAATTTGTAAGAAAGAAAGAAAGAAATGGTTTTACCTGGAGAGCAGTCTCCCCTGATCATAATGTGATTATATGCACATAATATTATAAAATAGTCTGTTATTTTGTCTCCTGTTTTTGACCCTATGATTTGGGCTAGCTTTTTATTTTATTTTATTTAGTATTTTAGTTTTATATTTTATATTATTTTTTATTTTTGACATTAAAATGCAAATACTTTAGGGAATATGGCTTATGCTTCTTAAACGCCAAATTTGTCTAATATTTGTCATTATGTTTTTGTGGAGTGTGTCTAATTGTGTTAGTTGCACATGTTTCTATGTCAGTAAACACTGATGTGTGGATCTGTATGTTGTTGTGATACATCTTATGTTTTTGTCAGGACTGTTGTCTGTGTGTATACTATTGATGTCTGAATTGAGTTTATAAATTGGTATTTTAAAAGTTGTTTTTGCTTCATTCATCAGATCAGTTGCTGTTTTTTTATAAAAGGAAAAATGAAAAACATTTGAATGTAACTGCTAAGATAAATGTAGCACATTTTGTTTAGGTTGTAACAGATGTTAAAATTGATGTATTTGTGTCTTTTTCTCAGGTCTGGACCAGACAGACATACCAGAGGGACTGTCCCGCGCGCGGAGCATTATGGCAGAGCCAGACTATATGGACGGTGATAGCGATGAACTCATTAAGCCCAAGAAACTCCTCAACCCAGTGAAGTCCTCCAGAAATCACCAGGACCTACACAGAGAGCTCCTCATGAACCAGAAAAGGTGATGCACATACAGCCTATATTAGATCAGTTCTCCTACACTATATCTGTACCTCTTTCACTCAGAATTGACTGTTTCTTTTTAGCAAATTATCTGAACATGCTGTGTGGACATTGTTATTTTTATTGGACATTGGACATTGTGAACATTGACAGTGATATGACTTGAAACTAGCATAGCTATATAGGAAATGCAGTCATTATATTAAAATATCTGACCACATTTGACCAATCAGAATCAAGTATTCTGTAATAAATGCCTGTATGACTTGTTATGAGTCATATAAAGATCAATTTCTGCCATTCCACTTTTGCATATTTCTCAAATGAGTTCTTAAAATGTTACAGTCATTCTGAAAACTGATTCTACCCAGAGGACTTTCTGGATAGGATGAATGATCTCCCCCCCGTCAGATCTGTCTGTGTTTGTGTGCTGTATCTAGGCAGACAGGAACCAGAAAAAAATGCACTGGAAATAATCAGTTTGAGTCACTCGTTTTAGTCCTCTCTTTCTTTTTTCCTCTGTCTCTCTCATTCTCATTGGTGATGAATTGTGAAAGCAAGGGTATACACATGCTCTCTATTACGTAAAGCAGTTTTTTCTTTTGCAGTTGGAAGTTATTAGGAAGAACCCTTGAGGATAGAAGTTGTTCTTGTAGCTTTGATGCGAATAAGAACGGATAAGTCACAACACAAGTCATTTATGTTGCAAGAAACATATAACACACACACGCATTCTACCAGCATGATTATATAAAATCCTGTCCACTGGTTCTCACCTCCCACATTAGTTGAGCATGAAGTGAAGAGTTTGTAGAATTCCTACAGACATCGGAATCCTCCGCTGAGGATTTATTCCAGTAATTCCCAATTAGGTGTATGTGTGTACTTAAGCAGTTTCCAGGCAGTGCAGAAAAGATTCGAGTCTTTGTTACCTTATCTTGTTACAGATTTGTAAAAATGACTGCGTGGTTTGTGGGTGATATTTTGGACTTGTTGAGCTTCTATGGATTAAAATACACAACACAGAGAATGCAAATGACATTACATTTGTTAAGCATCCTATCTGCTTTCATTTACAAATAAAATTGTTGTAATTATATAAATATATTATTTAAATATTATCCATGCAAATGTTTATTGTAAATGTGCATTATCATATTTAATAATAAATCATATTTAATAATAAGTAACTTAATGATACCCAACTATAGTCATACTTTTTCTTTCCCAGGGATTGGAGATTAAATTGATCTTTTTAGCTAATTTTGGTGCAGTCATGGACTGTTCATTGTCCCTGTTAAATAAAATTAATGATCTAATGAAGGGGTATTAATGATGAGGCTGTGGGGTTACATAAGACCTAATCACTGCACAGGCCTGGAGATCATGAAGACCCTTGAGAAAGGGGGCCTATAATTCCAATTTTCACACTTTTTGTATTTTTCCTTAAGATGCTAGTGAGTCTTACTTGATAAAGAGTGGGGAATTGAGTGTGTGTGCTTGTTTTGGTTTAGAAAAAGGGAACATCTCCATAATCTAAATGGGATTAGTTCCAGATGTGGTGCTCAGAGGGATGCTGAAAGATGTAGGGTTACATAAGAAGGATTACAGCATCCCCTTCGACTTTCCTCCCACCCTATCTCTGTTCCCTTCTCTGACACCCACCTTCTGTCTGTCTGCCTCCCACCCTGCTGTACACTAACACTCAAAGTGTTTCTACAGCCAGGGCAGAAGGTGAAGAACACAGAGTGATGGAGAGATAGAGGTCGGACTATATATAGTCTGTTGCATCATATATTAGATAATGTATTGGGTTGGGGGGCCGGGGTGGGCTTTTATGTAATCGAGGCCAGCCTCGTCTTTGCTTTATGTTTCTTTCTGTCGCTAGTCTCCTTTTCTTTTTGCTGTTATTTTGCCCAGCTGTCTGTGACGAGTAACCACACATAACGACAAAGTGACTGTTTCTAGCAGTTACCAAGGGACCAGTGTGTTCCTGTTATATAATCACTGACGACACACGCTGGCATTCCTGAAGATGTTTGTACCTCAGAAATTCTTAGAACAGAAGTATTTTTAATCTTTTCATCCCAGGTACAAGTCTTAAAGCGATAGTTCACTTAAAAATTACATTTTCATAGTCATTTACACACCCTTATGTCATTTCAAATCTATATGACTGACTTTCTTCCAAATATTTTTCAAAACAACATTGGATCCCATTGACTTTCAGTGTATGGACAAAACAACACTAATGGAAATGACATGATGGTGAGTAAATGATCACAGAATTTAAATTTTCTTTGTGAACTATCCCTTTACGCCCAGTGTTAGCAAGTCAGTTTGTTATTCTACAGCACTCAAGAAATATCACTTGTTTACTCAAACCCAGCATTGTTCCTGTTATAGCTGAATGACAAAGAGAAAACAGCCATAAAACCACACCTATAGACAAAAGCACATCCTTATCTTAATATTGGCTCAAATAAAAACAATAACTTTCAGAAAGCTCACAGACTAATGCACAAACCTGCAAAGCTCAAGAGGCCAATGAAGTGTTTACTTTGGAAAGGCTGCATTTACACATTGTTTAAGCCTGACGGTGGTAATGGGGTTGTTTTTTCTTGATTTTTCCTTAGATTACTTTAGTTTAGACTGGAATAGTTTAGTCTCAGAGAACAGTCACATAATTCAAATCAAAATGACAAAAGCAGAGTTTTAAGACAAATTGGATTTTAGTTCTATTTTTGGCATGTAAACACATATTAGCTTCAGCCTGGCAACAGAGATTGCTCATGTATTTAATCATTAATAAGAAATGTGCCCTGAATCATAAAACAATCATTGTTTCCTCTTATCTTGTTTGTGGAATGTATCTGATCTGTAATTGTTCTCATGAAGTTACCTGCGCAACAGATACATTCCACTCATGTGATTAATGTCTGATGTGCTTTTGTTGTTCTTTCTTCTCATAGAAGAGAGAATAGTTGGAGGGAGAAAGTAAAATACTGTTCAGAAACTAAATCAGTGAGATGACACAGAAATGGAGAACAGACAGAAGTGTGTGTGTGTTTTTTTTTTTTACACTCACCTGGCAGAGATTCTCATAATTCCATATTTTGGAGCCATATATTTATACAACTGCTGTCCAAATAGCCAAAACATTTCATCTCCCATTTTCTCAGCTCTGATATTCTCATCTGCTCTTCTCATTTTTACTTCATACTAGTCTAGACAAGTCTACAAGTTTTGGAAGGATGGACAAAACTCAACAAGTCTCTGGTGTGCCAGGCAGAGAGCAGGATTATGTTCAAAGTGTTGTTATCAGTGTTATTTTAGTATTCTTGAAAAAAGTAATCTGATTACGTAACTCGCATTACTTGTAATGCTTTACCCCCAACACTGATTACTTATATAGTAGTATTTATTAATATATACTGAATTAACTTTTATTATTGTATGTTTAGTTTTAGTAGTTTTCTGTGCTTTTGTCAGGTTTAGAATTAAAAATAAAAATATAGCATTCATTGTTTGAGCATTTTTAATACTTTAGTAGCATTTATTGTTGGTTCAGCCTCATTTCAATTTCAAATATTTTGGTCATCTGCTCTTCCTCAAATCGCTTTGAAATTGGCCAATCACATCCGTTGACTTCTATTCCAGATATGCGTTTTTCTGAAATTCATTACATATGAGCTAACTGGAAGTGTTTCATAAACAACTGGTTTCAGGCTTGTTAATTTGGAGAAACATGGCATTGAGAATTACGCAACAAAGATGTCACAGCAAAGTACTGTAATTTAAATAGTTAATCTCCATACGCTCTAAATGTACAGCAGCCTCTGGTCATTATAAACCAATTCCAATCCCTAAAACCCACCCAGGAATCCATCCATACTGGATTACAGTATGTGGGGCAATCAGGATTTTCACAGGGACATGTTCACAGTCATATTATGTAACCCTATGGATTATTATCCCTAAAATGTGCTGGAGTCATCTCATCTTTTGCTCTCTCATTAAATCAAACCTCTGATTGAAATCATGAAATGGAAGCAGTTATAGTTTTAAACTAACCCCTAATACTAAATTTTACATTTCAAAGTGCTCCATTTGTGCTCAAATTATGCAACTATTTGATGAACGGTGTTCTGATACTTTTCTAAGCAATCAGACTTATAGTTTTTTTTCTGGTGACTGATGATAAAATGAACAAAAAGTCCTATAGACTTGCTTTGAAGGAGCCATCTATCTTACAGTGAGTCCAAAATTGTGTATACTGTCTTGAGTAGGTACTACATTGGGAACTAACTCTGCGACCGTTAAAAAAGTATATTCTATGTAGTATGATTATGGGCTTTATGAACGAAATTCAGGCGTACTGCATCTGCCATGTTGTTATTGTCATGTGACCTGTCAGTTGCATTGCTTCACTGCATAAACATAAATCCTCTCCCATGGCCTCATGGGATATTAAAGTGTCCATCGAATGCACACTGCAGAATTTAGCCAGAAGTAGTAAGTCATCCGGGTACATTTTGCAATACTATGAATTTGGACATATTGTGTAATGGTGGCAACTTTTGCAGGGCCAATGACCACACAGTTCTTCAGAAAATGTAAAATTGTGGTTATTTATTGACAAATATCTCATCGTCTCCTTGTTTTCCTTATCACAGGGGCCTTGCGCCGCAGAATAAACCAGAACTCCAGAAAGTGATGGAGAAGAGGAAGAGAGACCAGGTGTTAAAGGCTCAGAAAGAGGAGCAGGAGGCGCACAAGAAAAGGTCAGACCTTGAGATCGAGCTCATGAAGAGACGAGAAACCCTTGAACAGGTATGTTTCCTCACACACAAAGACATAGATGTTTAATGGGCATATCCAGAAATGAGTGACTGAAATTGTCTTCTTGTTTAGCTGGAATTGGGGCAACATAAGAATGAAGAGGAGCAAGAAAACACCCCGGAGTTTGTCAAAATGAAAAGCAATCTGAGAAGAACCAAACAGGAAGTGGACGGGCAGGAGCGTGCCACCTAGAAACAGTTTCCATGGCACATTTGTTGGGAAATGGACTGGGGTTTGTGGGGATTTCCTGAAGTTTTTCCCCTATGTGTCCCTATGAAACAAGTGACTGTAGACGAACGGTTCCTGTTGCCTGCTCGCAGACACAACCAGTATTCACGCAGCCTCTTTTCCTGAACAACGTTCACAAATAAAGAGGATTGAAGAATAAACGACACATTCACACAAACTCTTGCACATGGGCGCAGCCTCTTTGCCACTGGTTGACTGGCTTCAAAGAACATGCATGGCGGAACAAACAGAGACCACATGATTACTTTGTTGGGTATTTTTTTATGTTTTGGAAAGGGGGCACATATTATTTTACTATTTTACTTTAAAGACCTGAAATGGGACACTGGATGGACTCTTTTAAGCCAAAACAATCCTCTTTTATTTATGTTCAGTCTAAGCTTTTGTTCGAAAGGGCTTCTCGAGTCATTTTCCTCTTGGTTGACGTTTAAAGGAAACTAAATATAAAGTTCCAACAATGCAAGTTGTAGTTGCATCATGCTTGCTTTTTATGAATTGTAATGTTTGTGCGCTCCCTCTGCTAAATTTCATAAGCGATATTAGTTCTAGTTTTTTGAGTTTTCTTTGCAAATATTTTTGTTACAACTTTTTTAATGAATACATTACTAATAAGTGAATACACTTTAGTTCAATGTGATATTAAATGCAAGTGCATCTGTTCTCTTTCACTTGAGTGGTAGAACATGAAATGTTTATTAATGAAGAAAGACACATGGTTTTGTGTAGATTTGAGCCAATAAATAACCACTCCTTGTGTTCCCTTAAAACCTTCTTTTAATAAATATTTTATCATGTTGAATTCTTTGTTAATTTGATGTCTATATGAATCTCTGTGTGACCAAGAAGTGCAAGTGATCTTAGAGAGGAAGGCAATTCTTTTAAAGGAATAGTTCTCCCAAACATTTTGGTTAACATTTACTCACCATCAGGCCACCTAAGATATAGTTGATTTTGTTTCTTCATCTGAACAGATGTGGAGAAATTTAGCATGTCATTACTTCACCACATCACCAATGGATCCTCTGCAGTGAATGGGTGCCGTCAGAATGAGACTCCTGATAAACAGCTGCTTTTTAACATCTTAAAAAGTGAAAAGCTGTGTGTGACAACTATTCCATCATTAAGGTGTTAACCATTTCTTCTGGTCAAAATTAGAGTCCATATTCCATAATAATGCTTCCTCCAGTAACAAAAAAGTCCATCACCTGTTTCCTCTCACGTCAAAATCCACCAACATAATTGTTTAGAACTGTTTTGCACTTTAAACGGTGCTTGATATGTGCATATTTCTCTCTTGATTCACACAAGATGACTTTTTCATTGAAGAAAGCAATATTATAGATAGATGATTCATATCTCTGCCAGAAGCTACGGATTGAAGTTAAAAATGTCTTGCAGCTTTTCGCTTCACAAGACGTTAATTGATGGACTAATTGAACTCCTATTCTGTTGGCACCCATTGACTGCAGAAGGTCCAATTTTGAGCAAGTGAGATTTTCATGTAGATGAATGACTGACTTTAGTGCATGAGTGAATGGAACAACAGCCTTGAAACCCTGCAACTTTTAAGAAGCAAAGTAGGTGTAAGTGAGTCATCTGGAACAAGGTCTGCACCTCCCACGCCATAAAATGAGACTGTCCATATAAAGGGATAAGCATGAGTCTAAACGATTCATAATTAACTGCTTGAGACTTCAAAAGTATTATGACGTTATTTTGTATCTGACAATCACAGAAAGACGTTAGTTAAATGCAGAATTTCAATGTTTGGAGACTAACCCCTTAGTTACTCACAAAATGGTATCCAACGCAAAATAAGCAACAAAAATGAAAATAGAGCAAATCTTAATTCCAGGAGTTCTTATGTAACTGTGCTGTGTCAAACAGCTGGCAGCAGAAGTAGGTCTGAGGGAACTGTGTCACAGACACTAAATGAAAGCTTTTAGATGTACTTATCACAGCTGAAAAGATCTGATATCAGCTTTCTCTTTTCCGAATAAAAAAAAAAAATCCTAAAAAAAAAAAAATAGTGTAGGATTTACTTTGAAACGGAAATTGCTAGTAATTGTCACAAATAGTAAAATAAATAAATAAATAAATACATACATACATACATAAATAAATAAAAAAGGCAAGTAACACATTAAATGAAACAAGACATTTTGAAGTACAAAGACTGAAATTGTATTTTCCTGTAAAACATACTCCTGTAATCTTTGCTTTACTTACACTGCGAAAAACTATTTATATAGGCCTGTCTATCAAAAAATAAAATAAAATAAAACCATAACATTTACTTGTTTAGTAATATGCATTGCTAAGAACTTCATTTGGACAACATTAAAGGCGATTTTCTCAATATTTTAAATTTTTTTGCAACCTCAGATTCCAGATTTTCAAATAGTTATATCTCGGCCAAATATTGTCCTATCCTAACAAACCATACATCAATGGTTGACCCTAACCCTAACAAACCATACATCAATGGAAAGCTTATTTATTCAGCTTTCAGATGATGTATAAATCTCAATTTCGAAAAATTGACCTTTATGACTGGTTTTGTGGTCCAGGGTCACATATAATAAAAATAGTTATTATAATAATAAAGGTAATACACAAATAAACATAAATAAATAAAATCTGACTTTGAGACACTAATATCCACTTGCTGGAGTGTCAGATAGCCTATGTATTTTCGTCAAGGAGAGCATAAGGTTACACCCTGTGCTGCTGGTAAAATTTAAGTGCAGGATAGGATTAGTTCTCAGGCAGTTTATCGGGCAGTATGTAGGGGACCTGTCTCCAAATTTCCCTAAACGGGCTCTGGCTGCTTCTCCAGGGGGCGCCTGGCGGCTCAGAAAACAGAATCGTCCGAGTCGCATTTACGTTGTTTTGGGACGTTTTTTGGTCTTATTGATGACATATGCATACTAACATTATAATAGTTTATTTGTAACAAATTCCAGAATCGGCCTCCGTCATACAAGTACAAACATGACCGAGGACCCTCTGTAAAATGATTTCATGAAACGCCACAATCCTTTAAACACAAGTAACCGTAATTATTCTGCTTTTAGAAGCGATGAAAAAAGTAACACGTACCATGTGACAACGTTGACGCTGATGAGGCGGCAGTCGGAAATAACAATACGGTGACAATAAATACAATATAAATATTATAAAATAAAAATATATTGTTTGGTCCAGTTGTTTCTGACCAATTATTTACAACTGTCGTTCCACTAAATTCCTGATTTCATCAATAATTGATTTCATGCCGACTGCAATTCTACCCACTTTTATTTTAAACCATGTTGTCAAAAAACTCAACAAAGAAATAAATAATATAGACGACAAAAAAATACACAAATGTGAATGCAAAATAAACACTTTACAAAAGAAACCGAAAGTCATGTTTTCACACCGGCAAAATTCGGGGCAGCCCTGAGCCCTCTCACGCTTCAGACATGGCGACGCAGATGGCGGTAAATTCAGGTATTAATTTAAATATTCTATATTATAAACATACTTCATATTTTTCTACAGCATAGAGTATTGACTAATGCACTGGGCATTTAAACTAATGTAATTCAACAGATTTAAAGTACAAATACTTCGTCAGCTCCACGTTACCTTCATTAGTAAATATGCTTAAAGTGTGTACGTTAGCTATATGCGTCACACTACATTCATTATTATCTATCCACAATATTGCTATTATTAATATTATTATTATAGGAAATGTTGCGATAAGACCATTATTTCTGTGTGACTAGACAGAGCAGTTTATTTGAAACATTAATGTCTCTTAAGACTAACTTTTGAATATGGTCTTTACTGGTAAATAAGGTTAATAATAAATGGCCAAGATAATGTCTCATTTAAGTTTAAAATGTGCATTTAGAAATGAAGTTTAAGGTGGTTTTATTATATAGTTACTTGTGAGTCTTTTTTTGCGGCATGGCATCTATTTTTTTCCACCACTTCCAGTCATCGGTGGACTGTCGTAACAGTGAATGTTGATGCTTCATATGTGTGTTTTGACAACGTCCTGTGTTAACGACGGTCACGCAATAATAATCAATCACTACTTTTTATGTAAAATCAACTAAAAAAAAGTTGCATTAAAGACATTTTGTGACCAATTGTTTATTACAAATTAAACAGGAATTACCAATTCAGATAATACACCACGTAGCTTTAAAACAGCCCACCACACTACTTTCTGATTGGTAATGTGTATACAGAAATTATTATATAGTTACTTGTGAGTCTTTTTTTGCGGCATGGCATCTATTTTTTTCCACCACTTCCAGTCATCGGTGGACTGTCGTAACAGTGAATGTTGATGCTTCATATGTGTGTTTTGACAACGTCCTGTGTTAACGACGGTCACGCAATAATAATCAGTCACTACTTTTTATGTAAAATCAACTAAAAAAAAAGTTGCATTAAAGACATTTTGTGACCAATTGTTTATTACAAATTAAACAGGAATTACAAATTCAGATAATACACCACGTAGCTTTAAAACAGCCCACCACACTACTTTCTGATTGGTAATGTGTATACAGAAATAATTTATTATATAAATGTTTTGTGACATTGTGAATCTGTTTGCAGGAGCCAGTCTGTGGGGCCCGCTGAAGGAGCTCTGGGAAGCTGTAGAGGGGGCCATATGGAGACGACAGCCAGAGAGTGTTCATCTTTTAGATCTGCAGTTGAAGAAACACAAACCTTCCTTCCTCACCCTCTTCAAAAACCCAGTAGGTTTTACTTTCTATAGATTCAAAACATTTCATGTGGAAAACTCTAATTGTACTGTAATTAAGTTTGATGTATTACTTGTAAAATGATTCAGAGTTTCAAAATGCATCCTTTGTTGTAAAATACAATATTTTTTTTGCAAAACAGATGAAGAGTGCAGAACAGAGAGAGAAGGTACGGAAAGCCAGCACAGAAGGCATTGCTATTCAGGGCCAGCAAGGAGTACGACTACTTCCTGAGCAGCTTATCTCGGAAGCCTTCATCCTTAGTGACCTTTTTGACCTGGGAGAACTAGCTGCCCTTGAACTGCTGTTGGCAGGTACACACACTGCACATACACATTTAGTACTACTGAACTGCACATTGCTCATACTGTATCATTGCAGTGAATTTACTATGCGATAATGTGATCTTTATGTGTATTTTCAGGAGAGCACCAGCAGCCTCATTTTCCCGGCCTGTCTCGAGGCCTGGTGGCTGTGCTCCTTTACTGGGATGGCAAACGCTGTGTGGCAAACTCCCTTCGCTCGCTCATCCAGTCCAGACACGGGAAGACGTTCACGCTTGACTTGAGGTTTGTTGCTTTTCCTTCATGCTACAAGATCTAGCTCATTCTCCCATGCTTCTTTCCTTTTTAGGAAACATTTTATCCAAGAGGTTGACAGATTATTGATCGCACACTTCAACAACTCCCAGGATAATGGAAATGTGAATCTGTGTTGTCATGTTTTCTTTCCTTGTAGTCCTGAATTGGTGAATCTCACTACACGGTTCACGGATGAGCTGATGGCTCAGGGATTGACCAAACAAATCCTGAACTTGATCTCAGATATCAGTGTGACTCGTGAGTTTGAGAGGCTTCAGAAAGAGCGGGGCCTTGGCAATGAGAAACACAGAAAAGAGGTAAAGCATCCTGTGCAAATTGATGATAATTACATATGCAAATTATGTAAATGGCCAGTTTATAGTAACTGTTATTCATATGGTACAGGTATCCGACCTCATCAAAGAGTGCCGACAGTCACTAGCAGAGTGTTTGTTTGCATGGACATGCCAGTCACCTCTAAGCAAAGAGGACACCCTGACCCTCATCGGTCACTTGGAGACGGTGACAGCCGAAGCTGATGGCTCATTGGATAGCGTTAACCTTGCTTTAGTCATGGCGTTGCTTTATTGCCTGGATGTTAGTTTTCTGGAGCAAGGAACAGAGGATAGAGAAGGTATTCATGCTTTATTGTGACCATCTTTGGTAGCTATAAATGCTTTATTATGATCCACACTCATATAAGTATGATTAATAGAAAATATAGGTTGTTTATTTCCTAGTAGAGTAGGAAATACTATGTTTTCACAAACCCATTTTTTGTGTGTTCATTAGACTTGCTCCAGGCCTTGCCTCTACTGACGGAGAAGCAGTATGTGGCAGCGGTGCACAGTCGGTTGGTGGAGGGTCAGGCCTGGAAGCTTCCTGGACTGCAGGCAGTGGTGCAGCTGGCCTGGGCTCTGTCTCTGAGAGCCGTGTCACAGCTTCCACAGGGTGCAGGTATCACGCCTTTCATAGCTCAGGCTATTGTTAATTTCAAAATCGATTTTACTTTAGCTCTCATGATCTCTCATGATACGTCATAGGTACTGTGCCTTTGCGTGATCTCTATATACAGTACAATAGTTTGTTATAGTAGATGCAATTAGCAGCTAAACCCCGAAAATGCATGAAGTCGCTTTATAGGTTAATATACTCTCTCCTACTTTTGTTCATTTTCTTTTCAGCTCTAGTGGAGTTCACCGAGGCAGATGAGGCTCTGGCAGACCAGGCGCTGTTGGGAGGTGTCTTCCTCTTCCTGACAGAGGGCATCCTAGGAAGCGATGGCTTCAGCCAAGAAGAATTCTACACCCGCCGGCTGCATTCCCTCATTACAGATTTCCTGGCTCTCATGCCAATGAAGGTGTGAGGAGAAATGCTTGGAAAGTTCAAAAGAACAGCATTTATTTGAAATAGAAATCTTTTGTAACATTATAAATTACTTTACTCTCACTTTTGATTGATTAAATTCATCCTTATTTCTCTGTACAAAATTATACTCATGTTAATTAGTGTGTATGGAGATAAGTTAAGCGAAGAGTGTTATTTGCAGGTGAAGCAGTTGCGTAACCGTGCTGATGAAGATGCTCGACTGATCCACATGGCTCTGCAGATGGGCAGCGAGCCGCCATCATCTCTACGCAAGGACCTGGACCACCTCATGATACTTGTGAGCTTCCCTTTACATTTATCACATAGTACATACATATAGAATTCTTCATCATTGAAAATCTCTGTAAAGCCAGGAAATGACTTGCATCATCACATATTGCTCCTAAAATTTAATTCATGTTATTTTAATAGGTAATAGCATTGTCACTCAACAGCACTTTTGAACTCTTGTAATTAATGCTGAAGAATGGTGTTTTTTTGTTGTTGTTGTTTCAGATTGGAGAGTTTTACAGTAAAGATCCATTTGAACTTGAGCTGGCCCTGGAGTTCTGGTGTCCATCAGAGTCTCTTCATCACACTTCACTCACCGGATCTTTTCTTGGAGTACCTCTCCAAAGACCCCCTCACAAACAGGTGTGAGAAGAAACCTCATTTTTGCTCATCCTACAATATAAACTTCCTAAAAATATTTAAGGGTGATGAGAAATAGTAATTAACTATGTGGGTTGGTAAATGAAACATTACTGGTATTAAACTCCACAGTGTATTATTCATCACCACTGCTTTGAATAAAGTTCAAATTCCAGTATATATTTGTGTGTTACCTCAGGTGGTTCTCTCCAAGTTTGTGCGTCAGATGTGTGATCTGCTCCCTGCTACTCTCTACATCCCTTACTTGCGCATGCTGAAAGGGCTTGCTAATGGTCATCAGTGTTCCCACTACTGCTTTAGTCTGCTTAAAACCAATGGAGCTCCACACGGTAACTGCACCCTCAGATCTTAAAAGAGAATGGTGTGATATGAGTGCTGTGGTAAGTCGTGTGCACTACCATATAAGTTTGTTTATATGGCTGTTTCAGGAGAGAACCGGCAGGCTGGAGTGTCGGGCAGTGTTGTGTCATGGGAGCACTTTTTCCATTCTCTCATGCTCTACCATGAGAACCTGCGACGAGATGTGCCCAGTGCCGACAGCATGCAGTACCGCCACCCACCCATCAGAGGCATCACTCAGAGAGAGCTAGAAGGCCTCACAGCGTTCCTCCAGCTGCTCACCACTATCATCACCTGGGTATAGAACACATACATCACAATATAATGACTGATTGAACAGTTTCAATTCTAAATTGAAATGTTGTGTAAAATAAGTCTTTTAATTTCAGAAGGTATACATTTCATTAAACTTTATTGTACATCAATATTATATTGGCTATCACTCACCCTGCTTTCTAGATATCGACCAGTTAATTATTATTTTTTTTTTGTAGATGAGTGAACGTTTTGACTAAGTATTATTTGTAGCATACCTCTCTGAAGCATAGTTTATGAAAATGATTGGCCCTTTTCACTTTCATTTCAAAGCAAAAAAAAAAACATTAAAATTGAAATATTCCGGAATCAACATTAAATCTAATTGAATATGAATCAGAACTTGTGAATCAGAATCAAATAAGGGAACCAGTGCTAATGATCAGCCCTCATCACATCATCAAGCAGATGAAATTGCTCTCAATATCAGTGTTCAGATATGTCCTTATATTTTTCAGAGTGAGAACGCGCGTCTGGCTCTTTGTGAACACCCTCAATGGACGCCTGTGGTGGTGATGCTGGGATTGCTGCAGTGCAGTGTTCAGCCCGTGCTGAAAGCTCAAGTCTTGCATGCTCTTGCTGCCTTTGGCAAATCTCCTGAGATCGCTGCCTCCCTCTGGCAATCACTGGAGTACACACAGGTTGACTAAAACCTCATCCTATAATGCCAAACTGACCTACAATAGAAGAATAAATGTATAAACAGTGTATTAAACTTCAGTATAAACAGTGTGGATTTCCCACTTATGTGTGTTTTTAATTGAGTTGACTTTAATTATTATGTTATTGATCATTGTTGTATTTTTCCCTCTCAGATCCTGCAGACAGTGAAAGTTCCTGGACAGAGACAGGCTGCTGGGATTGAGGTTAACTGTGTTTCTTGTTGCATATACTGCTGGTGTTAGGCCTGCATGATTTAGGGGCGAAAAAATTCTACTTGTGGTTTTTCTGATAACAATTGTAATAAATAGTTAATAAATAGCAATAATTGTTATAAATGTTATTATTTTTAAAGCTCTATATTTGCTGTGCTTATTTGTAGGGCTTTACAATTTGCCCCTAAATTTTATGCTTATATATATATATATATATATAGCATATATGTCCTTTTATTTTGGCACTAATTAAATTTTTCTCTAACAGGTGGAGCTGAATGAGATTGAATCGAGCTGTGAGGAGTATCCTCTCACAAGGGCCTTTTGTCATCTGATCAGTACTCTGGTAGAGAGTGCACTTCAATAAATTCTGTTCTTTTGAACTTTCTATTCATCAAAGAATCCTGAATTTTTTTTTTTTAATTTATAATAATAAGAAATGTTTCTTGAGCACCAAATCAGCATATTAGTATGATTTCCGAAGGATCATGTGACGCTGAAGTCTGGAGTAATGATGCTGAAAATTCAGCTTTGCATCACAGGAATAAATGACATTTTAAAATATATTAAAATGGAAAACAGTTATTTTAAATTGGAATAATATTTCACAGTATTAGTGTTTTTACTCTGTTTGAACAAATAAATGCAGCCTTGATAAGTATAAGAGACTTCTTTCAAAAATATTAAACATTTGAATGGTAGTGTATGTATTTATAATTGTTTGACATTTCTATTTGCCTTTAAAGTTTAGTTATTAACTTTATATTTAATATAATTTTTTTTTAGCAAATTAATTGAGACTAAATGCTTAATGATTTCAGCATTTCTGGATATGGATCAGTTTGTGTGTATTTGTTGATGACATTATGCTGTTGCCATTGTTGTAGGTAAAAAGCAGTTGGAGTCGGCAGTGCTACACTGTCTGTGTTTGTTGGAGCTGGCTCTGCAGAAGGAGGTGACATTCATGGATCTGCTGAGAGAAAGTCAGACATCGCTACTTGTCTCTCCTGTGGAACAGCTCCTGCAGGGTGTCAGTGCTCAGAGCAGACGGGCTGATCACATCACCAACATTGCCAGGTCTCCTTCTTCCTTATTTATACATATCTGTCATATATTGTTCTAGGGCTGTGCAGTTAATCGAAATTCAGTTTCGATTTCGGCCTCCAACGATTATGAAAATACAGTAATCAAGATAAAACGATTATTGCGCCCCATTCCACCCCCTTTCCAGCGCAGCGGTGCTCTTTCGTTCCTCCATAAAAGCCCAATTTCACGTGCAAATCAGTAAAATCATGTAATGAGACTTTTGCCAAATGGGACGTGCTCGATTTATTTAAGTTGATTAGATTTATTTATGTTTTTAAAAGCGTGAAAGAGAACTTGCGCTTCCTCGGGAAGATTGTTACTGTGCATGCGCTCAGAGACGGAACACAAACGGACATGTAAAGTAAGTAATCTTTTAGCGCCTAAACTGTAAAATACACACAAAAATGCGGCGCTTAGTGATTATTCACGTAAACCCTCGTCGGTTATGTAATAAATGAATGTAAAGTAACGAGACTTTTGCAAAACGGGACGTGCTTGATTTATTTAAGTTGATTAGATTTATTTATGTTTTTAAAAGCGTGAAAGAGAACTTGCGCTTCCTCGGGAAGATTGTTACTGTGCATGCGCTCAGAGACGGAACACAAACGGACATGTAAAGTAAGTCATCTTTTAGCGCCTAAACTGTCAAATACACACAAAAATGCGGCGCTTAGTGATTATTCACGTAAACCGTCGTCGGTTATGTAATAAATGAATGTAAAGAGTTGAGAATGAAAATACTTGTGTAACATTAAATTGGATCCGTGCGGCTCTTAAAGTGATAGCGGGCTATATTCCTGCTGCCTACTGTGTGCTTAATATTAATCAAACAACAAAAGACAATCAAAATCACTCACTGCTCTTGACTGAAGGACTTTTGTAGCTTTAATAAGAAACAAAGGAAGTTTAATTATTACAGTGAAGACTATGCTGTTTTATTTTACATTGGCTTATACAATTTCTCTAGTAGGCTGTTAACTGAATACTTTAGACTTGCATTAAAAAAACTTAAAGCACAGTTTGTTTCATTTGTATATTTTTTATTCTATTGTATTCTTTTGCTTTTTTATTACTGGCATTGTATTCCTTTGCTTTTTTTAAATTACTGGCAGTTTAATTATTTTTAATAATTTTGAGGACCTTTTTTGTTGTTGTTTTTTAACTAATATTAGTTACTCTGGTATTCTGCTGTGGTATTGAGAATTGTAACATTTCGCTGGTCTCTAAAATGTAGATGTCATAGCAACCTTATTTACAGAAAATATATATTTGATATATATCACTATCTTTAAATAAATCTTTCATATAAAGTTTTGGTCATATGGCCCACTAATAATCGTTTTAAATAATCGTGATTACAATATTGACCAAAATAATCTTGATTATGATTTTTGTCATAATCGAGCAACCTTTCTATTGTTCCCAGCAAAATAATTTCCCCCCAAATCATGTCAGGAATGCTTTAATCTGTGTCTGATTCAACAATACATGGGCTGATTTGACTTGTTTGGCCTTCACAGGTACCTGTACCACAGCAGCTCGAACCCTGATGCTGCTTTCCAGAGTGCCAAGATTCTGCGCCGTATTGCACGTTACCCAAACATCCAGGCCAGACTGGTTGGAGACTTCACACATGATCAGGTAAGAGACCTCACATTGTCTATTGGTAATACAAATAATTGGGGTTGCTTTAAATATGACAAAACTGTTTTGTAATGAGCAGGTGGTGAGTGAGAAGTTGATGGCTGGTTTTGTGGAGTGTCTGGACAGTGAGGAAGCTCAGGAGGGAGTAGCCGCAGATGGTGAGTCCTTATCTTGAAAAAAGCCAAATATCATCTATAAATGGTTTAAAGCGGCATTTAAGAACCTTTTTTCTCTTTGTTCAGACTCAGACCCTGAGAAACGGGGGGCCAGGATTCGTCATGAAACCAAGATCCACATCCTGAACCTTCTGATCACCTCTCTGGAGCTAAAGGGCCCCAATCTTGGCTTGTATCTGCTGGGCTATGAAGTGAAGAAGCCAGTTTCCTCCACTAACCTGCAGGACCCAGGTAAGATCTCAGCTTGACTCATAATCAGATTTAGGACTCTTATGTGTACCATGCTATGCCTGAAACAGTTTGGTCTTGTGACTACATCAATAAGGTGTTCTTGGCTGTCCACGGAGCTGCCTGCATGCGATCCTCAGTCTGCTCCAGAGGGGCAGCGAGTGGCGCACTGGACCTGTGCTCACCAAACAGGCCCCTCAACTAGCTGAACTCTTCTACCAGGTACACACTGTTTAACTAATTTACATACAGACATTGTGATGCCTTTTGTGTCACGTTAAAGTATCTATTTTGTGTCTCTGTGTGTGTTTGTGTACGTACCAGGTGATCTATCAGCTGTGTGCCTGTCCTGACACTTCTGGGCCCACCATGCGTTACCTCAGGACCAGTCAGGACTTCCTGTTCTCTCATCTGCAGCACCTGCCTTTCATTCTACCAGGTATGCTTTTGATCTTGACAGACTAGTGTGTCCATGACATCTGGTGGGAGATGTTTCTGAAGCAGCAGATCAGCATATTAGAACGTTTTCTGAAAGATCAGTGACACTGAAGGGTGGTGGCTGCTGAAAATTCAGCTTTGCCATTACAGGAATAAATACATTTTAAAATATATTAAAATAGAAAACACTTATTTTAACGGCGTGTCTATTTACACTAAGTGCAAATAGCCCGTCTTGTTGGCAGTTGGCACACCAACGTGTGATTGGGCTAGTCAGCATTACAAAAGACAAAAGTAAGTTGTTTTTTCCAGTGGCGCAGATGGTAAAGCGTGTGTTGTACTCATTTTGATGCGATCGACCCAGGTTCGAATCCGCCTTTTGGCAAACTTTTTTTCTCCTTTTTCAAATTTCAAATCACATCAGAAAAGCATTTATTTTCAATAAAAATGAAGGAAATAATCAAAAAGTTGAAAATAAATTATCGGGTAGGGTTAGTTAGGGTAGGTGTAGGGAGGGCTTTATTGTCCCAATAAGGTGGCATCCATTTAATAATTTGAATTAAAAACTGCTATTTGCTATAATCTATTTGTGTACAGACAGTTACATTAAATATAAACAATAATTTCACTTCACAATTAAAAAAACTGCCTTCAACATATTTAACAACTCAGTAGTATTTCTTATATAAGGAAAACAAATAATAAAATAATTTCTTTATGGTTAATTAATGCAAATGAAAAATCATTCGCTTTGGATATGAACATTAAATATACACTAGAAATGAGAACTTTCCTTTAACAAAGAAATATCTATATTGCATTTGTAATGCATTAAGTTTAACATCATAAAGCACATACACATTATGATTTTAATTCCTGCTTCCTGACACCTGACATCTCTTTTCTTCAACCAGTGCATCAACATCAGCAACCAGTTTTTGAGCCGTTGCCACTCTCATAATGTCATTTAGATGTCTGTGGCTGTGTCCGAAATCGCCCCCTATACCCTTAAATAGGGCACTATTTGAGGGAACAGCCATTTTTAGTGGTGTCCGAAACCATAGTGGACGTTCTCGAGTGCACTCATTCAATCCCACAATGCACTGCAAAAACGAGTGTACAACTGGTGCACGCTCAACGGCTAGAGAATGCCCATAATGCACCGTGAGAGTCACGCGCCGAATGAATTCGCGCATCTCGCCAGAAGATGGCGCCCGCAGCTGAATAATCAATCCGTTCATTTTTACAAAGCGCTCATCCATGGCGTACAGCATATGTACAACACGGGTATAAATTCATTGTAAATTGATTATTAAATTGTTTGATTTGGGTTTATACATAATTTCCGTGACAGAGTTCAAGATAAATCCTTTAATCTTACTACTGGAGCTGCTAGTTTGCTAGTTTCAAATGATTAATAAACAGCAAGCACAAACTATGCAAAAGCGGCATTCCTTCCGGTGCACTCAGTGTCCGAATTCACTACTCGTTTTCATTCACTCCTTCTAGTGAACTGAATTAGTGGCCTAATGTAGGCAATAGTGAATGAGGGTATAGGGGGCGATTTCATAGAATCTATAGCTATTTGCACTTAGTGTAAATAGCATCTATCGCTGAGAAAATATGCTATTTTCACCTAGTGTAAATAGCATATAATTGCTTAGTGACTTAGACACAGCCTTAGTGTAAATAGCCTCTATCTCTACTTACACTTAGTGCAAATAGCCGCTGCCTTTAAATTGTACTTATATTTCACAATATTAAAGTTTTTACTATATTTTTGACCAAATAAATGCAGCCTTGGTGAACATAAGACACTTTGGCAAAAAAAATAAAAAATCCAGACTTTTGAATCTTAGTGTAATATTCATTTCAAACATGTTATTTATTATTAGCAATTTGATATTGTTGACAGTAAAACAGCCACTCAGATTATGGATTTAGTGTGCCATTCAGACACCTTTTACATATTTTTATCTTTCATTTGATTTGCAATGCACTAATCATAATTTCATATACTATTTAGGGAGGATAGCATGCAAATTAGTATCCCTCTGATTGATTCCGTCTTTATGTCCCACAGAGAATGAGATTGCTGCTCTGTCTCAGATGTCCTGGCTGATGAAGACTGCAGCCATTGAGCTCAGAGTGACATCACTGAACCGTCAGCGCTCTCACACACAGAGACTGCTCAACCTCCTCCTGGATGACCAGCCACACACATTACATGCCGGTAATACATACACCCAAAGTTCCTCACGATGACCAGCCACATTGAAGTAAACGCAACTGAATCTGTCTTGTAGCAGATGGAGAGACAGGCATGGAAGAGGAGAGTAGATCAGTCAGTGGTTTCTTGCATTTTGGCACCGTCTCCAAAGGTAAGAGAAAGTCTGGTTATGTTGCAGTTTGTTCTGACGCTTTAGAAAGGAAGGAGCCATCTGATTTTGAATATAATTAGTTAATCATTCATTGCTCTTTTAGTACGCGGGAGGCTGCTGAGTGTTTTGGATGCCATAGACTTCAGTCAGGAGGCCCCGGAGCTTCTGCAGCTGGACTTCTTTGAGCGTGCTCAGATTGAGCAGGTCATCACCAACTGTGAACACGTCAACGAGCAGGGACACACGGTCTGCAACGTCAAGGTATGTGGATGGCTCACTGATTTCCTGCATGCATTAGACCTTATACTGTCATTTATTTATTATAAGAATATACAATTAATATTTTCATTGTTTCATCATGTTTTCAGTTGCTCCATCGAGTTTTAGTTGCAGAGATCAATGCACTGCAGGGCATGGCGGCCATTGGGCAAAGACCACTGCTGTTGGAGGTGAGTGTGTCTCTGATATTTGCAGGCAAGCATTACAATTTGTATTTTTTTTTCATGGTGCTGATTGTTTTGTCGGTATCAGGAGGTGAACTCAATCCTGCAGCAGGTGGTGGAGAGGAACCGCGTGCGGTGTAGTCTCAGTGCAAAGCGTCATGCTCTGCAGAGCTGGAGGAGTCTGGTGGAGACCATCCTCACGGCCTGTCCTTCAGAGCTCATCCCAGCCGACCAGCGCCAGCTGATCATCAGAGACCTGCTGCTGGATCTGCACGACAAGGTAGGAAAACTAATGAGGAGGAAGATGCTTTTAAACGAGGAACAGCATGTGACTTGCTTCTCTCTTTCCTCTAGGTGTTATCAGAAGATGCTGCTGGTGAATTGATGCCAATTGTAGCCGGGGCGGTCTTCACATTAACAGCACAACTCAGCCAATCGGTGCTGTCTGAGCAGCAGGGGGCGGGGCCACATGGTGGCTCTGGATCAGGATTTGCTTCAATCGCTAACTCCGCCCTCCACCTCATCCTAAGGAAGCTACTGGATTTTATCTTGTGCACAGGTTAGAAGGGTTGTATTTTCAGGGTTGACTAATCCGCTAACCTGGGTAAATTAATTCCACCATGGAGGTTAAATGGTTAAACTTCGTGTTTTACTCCCTGGTGTTTGTTTACATCAAGGTGGAGGTTTCCAGCGTCTAAGGTCTCACCTTTATGGTGCTCTGCTCTACTACCTGCAAATTGCCCAGAAACCTGAGGAGCCAGAGACACTCCAGACAGGTATAGAAACACGGATATGACAAAGCAAGGGCAAAATGTTCTTTTATTCACATACACGCATACTTTCCTAGACAGCGTTTTGGGAATTTTAAGGCTTCATTTTGCAATCTAATTTTAGAAAGGTTTTGGCAACATTGCTCATACCTTTCATGGATATATCCTAGAATGTTTAATAATATTTTACTATTTGATTGCATATAATATTTAGGATTAAAATACATATAATAAATATCTAAAAATCTAATACACAGAATGTATAATAATCCTTCACTACTTTGAGTGAATATTTTATATTTTTTTATCTTATATATATTAAATTATTATATCATTTATAACAATTATATTTATTAATATATATATTATTTAATTTTCAAACATTTTAAATAATTTTTTTTAATTAATTTTAATATACCAAGTCTTTTTTTTTTTTTATTGATTTTGGAGTCTTATGTAATTCTTGTAAGGAGTGATCGTTCACAACATATCTGCCTATGAAAAGCATGTAGGCTTTAAACACTGTTCATAATGAAATTGTGTAATATATGCTAACATCTAAAAATAATATGCAAATATTATAATACTGAATTTACAGGTACCTCCATGTGGGAGCGTTTGACTGCCCCTGAAGATTGTTTCTCCAAGCTGCAGAGAGAGAACCTGGCCATCATCGAGAGCTACGGCACTGCGCTCATGGAGGTGGTGTGCAGAGACGCTTGTGACGGCCATGAGATTGGCAGGGTAAGAGCAAACAAGTCAACATCATCTTACTGAGTTATTGCGAAATTAGATAATGAATCGAGGGCATCGTCTTTTTCCAGATGCTGGCTCTGGCCGTGTTGGACCGGGTGTTGTCTATAGACAGACAGTGCCAGTGGCTGGTGTACCTGTGTAACAGCGGGTACCTGCGTGTGCTGGTTGAGAGCTTGAGACAGGACGATGTCGCCCTGCAAACTCTGCTCACACCTCAGCCTCCATTGCTCAAACCACTCTACATCTACGAGTCCAAAATGGCGTTGCTGACCCGTGTGGCTAAGACAGCACAAGGTGCGACGGAGCTCCTGCGCTGTGGGCTGGTTGGTCAGCTGGTGGAGTGTCAGGTGTTTCACATGCTCCCTCAAAATGAGGCACTCAGGTCTGTACTCTGTAATCTAGATACTAAATATAGATGAAGAAAAATGTCTCTCACTGTCATGTCATCTCACTCTCAATATCTCTCTTCCAGAGTGTTTGGGCAGAGAGATCCATCGGGGTTTATTCCTAGTCCTCTAGAGCGATACAGACAGATCCTGCTGCCTACTCTCAGACTGATGCAGGTCATCTTGACCTCCACCACCACACAGCACCAGCAGGGGGCGGCACAGGTACAAACATCCATACAATGTTTCCTTTGAAACAGGCTGAATCCAAATTCACAAATCTGCTATATACTAAACGAGTTTAGCTAGTTATGAGGGAAGTACATACTTGTATGTCGTGCTACATCTTACTGCATACTTAAGTGTGTCAGTATTGGGACATAGGTGAAGAACGTTTATTTACAATATTGTGTAGAAGTTTTGGGGTCAGCAAGATTTTTTTATGTTTTTGAAAGTAGTCTCTTATGTTCTTCAAGGCTGCATTTATTTGATCAAAAATACATTATTATTGTGAAATATTATTACAACTGAAAGTAATTATTTGAATATATTTTAACATGCAATTTATTTATGTGATAGCAAAAAATCTTTGACTTGTCATCTTTTTAAAATATTTTTTTAAAAAGCCAAATATTTTTTTAGATTTATTTTAGACAGGGAAGTAATCTGTGTGTGTTGATTTGTAGGTGCTGCAGTGGCTCATCGTTCACTCTGATGTCATTCAGTCCATCCTGCATGGTCAGGATATGAGTATGGGCGCTCTACAGGAGCTCTCTCTCCTCACTGCCATCATCAGCAAGACTGCACTGCCAGGTACAGACACTCCACAGCTGCTCAAATGCCTCATACACTGATGACTAATGCTGTGGATCTCGATTTTTTATGTTTAGGAGCTCTGGAGATGGGACAGGAAATCAACAGTGCCGCCCTTATGGAAGTACAGGGACACATCGGCAGATTCCAGGTAAAATATAGAAAAAAAAAAAAAGTCTTCGAAAGCTTATTTTTAAAAAGAAGAAAAGAATGGTTATGTGACTATAAATGGTTTAATGCAAGACATCAGACAAATCACAGTTAATAATGATGACATCAGTACTGTTGATTGCAGTTTAAAAGCTGAAATTCTGTAAATACAAGTTAATGTGTGAAGTTTACAAAATGAGCGATCTCCCTCCTTCAGCGTCAGTCGTTGTCTCTGCTGGTGCGGCTGGTGGGAACCGATCGCGCTCGCTACCTGAAGCAGATCGAGGAGACCGTCTCCCCTGGTGACCTTGCAGAAAAGAGAGAGGAAATGGAGGTTGCCATGCAACAGGTGTTACTATCTTTAGCTGGAAAACACTACACCACTTTTAAAATCGGAACACTTTTTAAATCTGCTTGGAAATGCCTGACAAATGCAATAATGTGTTCTAAAATTAAAACTAAAACCATAAATGTTGTTCCTTGAAAATATATATTAAAGAATATTTTTAAAAAAATGTTCAGCTAGTTACAAAGACATCATTTGACATTTTCTTTTAGTTTTACTTGAAGTACTGAATTAACTAAAACTGCAATAAAAATTTATAAGAACTATAGGCATATTAAAAAAAATACTAAAACTGACAAAAACATACCTTTTTTTTAAACTTTAATTTGACCTTGAAATTACAATGAAAATGTATATGAATATAAAAATTATATCCAGATATAAATATAAAATAAAAACCAATGAAAAAATGAATAAAACTATAATAATATATCAATAATGATAAAATAGCATGTCTAAAATTTGCTCAAATTATTACAAATATTTGATTACTGGTCTTATTACTTTATTTAATATTTGATCAACTGAATGGAAAAAGAGCCTAAGGTTAAAAATCTAAGTGCCCATCATACACTATGATTTTCTGTAAAAGTCTGTCAAGTCTGGCAGGCAGGCAACGACTTTTGGCAACTACTGTCAACTCCACTAGACTTTAAATCATGGCACAAATCTGGGTAAAAATTGAGTTGTTTGATCACACTTTATTTTAAGATCCAATTCTCTCGATTAACAAACCATTCCACTAGACTTTAAATCATGGCACAAATCTGGGTAAAAATTGAGTCGTTTGATCACACTTTATTTTAAGATCCAATTCTCTCGATTAACAAACCATTAACTATGACTTTTGCCTTTATAAACTCCTAAATTGCTTGTTATTAATAGTTAGTAAGGTAGTTGTTTAGTTTAGGTATTGGGTCGGAATAGGGATGTGGAATATGGTCATGCAGAATATGTGCTTTATAAGTACTAATAAACAGCCAATATGTAAATAATAGGCATGCTAATAAGCAACTAGTTAATAGTGAGAATTGGTCTCTATACTAAAGTGTTACCACCAGTAGTTTGCTTCACTGATATATGTATCATGTGATTTCTCAGATTTGTGCCAATATTATGGAGTACTGCCAGACGCTACTGCTGCAGAGCTCAGCTGAAGCCCAGTTCACTCTCTGCCTGTTCAGCCCGTCAGCAAGTGAACCAGCAGGTCAGTCTTTGTGGTCGTCTAGCGCCTGTCTCTGTCTGGCTTCTGTAACCTAACTCTGTATGTGATCATGTATCAGATGTGGCCGTTCCCTCTGCGCGGGTGCCCAGTCTGGGATTGGTTCTGCTCCTGCTGAAGAACAGCGCCACTGACTTCTTCCGATATCATGACAGCCACAGACAGAGCCTGAACAAGCTGGAGCGAGTGGAGCAGCTTCCCCCTGAGGAACTGAAGGAGGTATATCTACCAACACAGAGAATGTTGCAGTAGTACTGCCTAAAATGTGTTTGTTTGATTGTGGGATGTTTAATGTATCTTTTTATGTGCAAAGCTGTGCCAGGGTTTGGTGTCCGGTTCTGGTGGAGTGGAAAAGATCCCATCAGTGCAGAGAAACGTGCTTGCCAAGCGCCGACTCGTCCAGCTGGTCAACAACCGAGCCAAGCTTCTTGCCCTCTGCTCCTGTATCCTAACACAAAGACTGTTTGAGAAATCAAGGGATGATCCTGTTTGCTTTTCAAAATTACGTTTCTTTTGTTTCATTTTTTGAGAACTACAATCTGAATGCTGGAAACGGTTGCATGTTTTTCTTGACGTTTCTCTGAAGATATCATTGAGACATGCTTGTTTGTGATTTGGCGCCACCTAGAGTTCTACTTGCTGTACTGCACTCCCACTGACCCCAAAGACTCACTTCTGCCAGGTTTCAGAGGTCAGCCGTCTCTCATTCTAGTCTTCTTCTTTAAAGCGCAATCAGTTTTGGGTTGTTTTGCATGAGAGACTCATTTATTGCTTTCTGTGTAGATCCTAGTGGCAGCAGAGGATTAAGTGTGTCAAGAGTGAGCCAGCAAGATCTTGAACAGGTACTTTTTTTTTTCTTTTCTTTTTGCTTTGCTTCATGTTCTTTGTTCCACACTTTATTTTTTATATAAGGCTGGAGTAATGGCTGCTGCAAATTCAGCTCTGCCATCACAGGAATAAATTACAATTTTTAAATATATTCAAATAGACAAAAAGAAATACAGCCTTGGTCAGCGTAAGAAACTTCTTTCAAAAACATTTTTTAAAAAGTCTTGTTTTTGACACTTCTCTCTCTCTCTGTGTGTGTGTAGTTACAGACTGACGTGGCGAACAGCTTCAATGAGCCATTGCAGAGGAAGCTGCTGGAGGTGGAGGGTCTGTATAGCAAAACCCGCTCCCGTCACACCTTTATCCAAGCCCTGACGCGCAGGATCCGTGGCCTAGTGCATCACGCCAAAGGCTGAACACTTACATACATGTATATTCCCTCAAATAGTGCTAAACATTACTCTTTTGAATTAGGTGGCAAATAGTTGCTTTTTTGCAGTTTTGAATACTATCAATCAACACATGAAATTTTCTTGCTCTGAAGATCTCGGTATTGGATTGATTTTTTCTAAAGTGGTAAATAAATGGTTTTCCAAACAGATGATGGTTGTTTGTGATTTTTTTTTTTTTTAAATCAAGATGGTAAGTACAGTTCTTTGAGCAAGTAAAGCAGTTTTGTTTCTGGTGATTTGTGCAGTGAAGAGCAGAGGCACAAAACCATTGCAGAATAATCTTGTTTTATTTTACAAGGTACGCTTTATAGAAAACAGTAAAGTGCGTAATCTTCAGTTTCATTTGTATGTCTCGGTTTTGAGAGCTGATGTAGCTTTACTGTGGAAGGGATTCTGGGAGTGAGAACCAGCAGACTACATTCAGATCGCATGGTAAGGATTGTTTCAAATGGCAACAATGAGCACACATCCATGTTTTAATACAGAAACTCACATTTAATATACCAACCCAGTTGCTTCCATAGTTTGCCTGTAAAAATGTGTGCGTAACTACAATGTCATAGGCACGTCCCATTCAGAAAATATGGACTGTGAAATCAACAACTGATTGACAGACAAAAATATGACTACAATTCACAGCCTTGATATGTTTCAAGGTCAAGTAGCTTTTGAATTGTTCATTGTTAACACATGACAGTTTCTCAGAAACAGCAAACCAAATAGTGGTTTCTTTTCAAATAAAAATTCAGCTTAAGATTAGTGAGTGTGAAAGAAGGCCTGTAACTCACAACGTTGATGTGATGAAAGTGAAGCCAAATTAATTTCCAGTAATGCTAAGAATATGCCGATGTAAGTGTGAACGAAATACATGCTTATTTCTTAAATACAAAGGATGAATAAATGTTCCGATCTAGACTGAGAGCCTTTTTGTGCTATGTAAAATCATGCATTTCCACTATAAATTATTTTTAAATAATAAAATTATAATTACAGTATTTAAAGAACATATACATGTGTCCCTGCTCCAGCGGGCCTACTGAGTGTGATCGTGCTGCCCACAGTACAAAACCACCTCCTCACACCCATCCCCATCGGTCAACTGACTGTCTACGAATAAAAGATCCATTACAGAAACTATAACACAGATTTGATTTACAACCACTAAACTGATTCACTAAATACTGAATCTATTACCATGATTAGCGAGCTGATAAATCACACACTGTCCATCTCTGATAATGCTAAGGAATAAGTCTGCTGAGCTATTGACACCAAAGCCACAATTTAGTTCATGTTTGATTCGAAGGTCCTTTTAAATGAGAAAAAGTGAAACAGCTTATGGTGAGTGAACATTATTCACATTATCTAGACTGCTGTTGTTTCGTTTTGGGAACGAATCCGAGGTACAGCAGACTTTTGAATCTTTTAAAAGATTAATATCTGAGGCACTGCAAACCAGAGGGTGGCGTTGAAGCTCACTTGATTACATGTTATATCTGCATCCTTGTTTTAGGTTGGTTAATATTGTCCTAGGAGGGTTGCAACGGTATGATAACAGTGTCACGGCTTTGCGGTATACTGTATTCCATATTTGATTTTGTATTTAAATCAAATTTATTTTAGCTGCACGTCAGCTTTTCTTTAAGGTAAAAACTAATGCTGTAAACTAAACGTGAAAACCCTCTCAATTGAAACATTACTAATATTAAATAGTTAACCAAACTACTGAATTTAGTAAACAAAACAGATTTTGCACATAAGGTAGTTTCCATACAAACTTCAAACATATATAAATCATTATTAACAGGTTAAAGTCTTTCTCGCCAACTCTCAAACTTTCCTGAGGTAAATATGTCACGTGTTATTCACAAGCAGTTTCACTGACTTCTTTTCGTGGTTAAAACACTGATTGGGCATTAAATGAGAGCTAACATTTCAACAAGTTGTTCTAAATCTTTCAACATACCTTCTGATGTTCATTCATTTACGTTTATTTCGTGGTAATGTGTTAGTAAAGGTAAGATGATTGGTTCCCGCCTGCTCCACGCTACCGCTGTGTCTGCACGCAGATACAATCTGTCACACATTAAAGAGTGCCAAAACGCCATTTATTATCTGGATTTCGTGATAAAATTGACATAATTTGAAAGCTGAGACGTTGCTTCTTATCAAAAGTAGGTAATTGGGCTACAAGTAAACGTGAAGTTTATTCAGCCTCACATTAGATAAGCAAATTGTCAATTTCAATACCATGATACCGCTGCAACCCAACCTAAGATCAACAACGATGACAACACACAACATGTCTGCTGGCCATAATGAAGCATGCAGAGCATTTTGCATCTGAATGCAATATACTGTATATATTTGCAGTAAATTGCAATCTTGTCTTTTGAAAAGCGCTCAAGTCCTGCATATACAACTCATATATATATATTTTTTACAACGGTGTCAACACGTCTGGATTTCTGCCTCAATATGCTATACATACAACATGTAAATGTTCTGAATTGTACATTTTTTACATTAGGCTTAAAACAGTGCTGCGTCAGTATGGTGTGGTGATGAATAGCATGTCTTAGTTCCTCCATGTACACTTCACATGTGCCCCGTTTGTTTGCATCCTTTGTGAACTTCAAATCTGTCAGGTAAGGGTCAAGCTGATATCCATGTGCTTTAAAGCCCCATATTCTGGATGTGTTCAAATCCAAATGGAACTTTAGGACAACTGGACCAGCAGTGATGGCTCAGCAAACGGGAGCGTCAACACTTTTCCTGCCGACAGCACTGCCGCGTCAGTACTAAAATCTTCAACGAGAGTTTGCTCTGTTTGCTCAGACGCCATTAGAGCTCGGCTCTTGGGTGATTTCCGTAGAATGGTTGTCTTCAGGCGATTCTGGTTCCTCTCCCGTCACCGCCATACGGATCACTTTGAGCCAGCGCTGTTTCAGTTCCTCGCTCTCTGCTGCAAAGCTGTGGACTGATTTAGACTGAGATAGTCGGAAGCTCGCGGGAGGGTCGGTGGGTCTCAGGCTGTCCTCCACCTGGTAGCCGAGCAGAGGAATCGTGGACTGGGCCTTGACATCCTGTGAGGACAGTAAGTCTTAGTTTAGTAAAGGGAAGTGCTGTGCAGGAACAGAAATAGGACGGTTCAGTGAGATAAAAGCACACTGACCTGAGGTGCGCCGTACAAGTAGAGAACTAGAGCTTCTTTTTGAGGAATGACACACCAGACTTTCTGCCAGGGCTTGTTCTTCTCGCAGTACTGCAGGAAGCCACACATGATACTGTTGCCCGAGAACTGAGCAGCTTCAATCTGTGAGGGAGAAGAAGTGAAGTTTAGCACAGTAGTGTGAATGCTTTATCACTCCTGTGTGAGATGACAGCATGAATTTCATGAAGCCTGTCAAGCAGAAGCCTGTCAAGCCAGTCTGGGTCATATTTCACTTCAACATGAAAATGAAGAA